AAAAAAAAAAAAAATCCCACTTACAAGGAATAACATAATTTTCTCACTATGTTGCCCTGGGTAGTCTCAGTATGTTGCCCTGGGTAGAGTGCCATGGCATCACAGCTGACAGCAACCTCCAACTCTTAGGCTTAAATGATTCTCTTGCCTCAGCCTCCCAGTAGTTGGGACTACAGGTGCCCACCTCAATACCCAGTTATTTTTTGGTTGCGGTTGTCATTGTTGTTTGGCATGCCCGGGCCAGGTTCAAACCCACCACCCTTGGTGTATATGGCTGGCACCCTGCCAACTAAGCTACAGGTACCAAAATAATATGATAATTTTCTTCAGCCAAAAACAATTTTTTTTTTTTTTTTTGCAGTTTTGGCAGGGCTGGACTTGAACCTGCCACCCCCAGTATATGGGGCCAGTGCCCTCCTCCTTGAGCCACAGGCACCGCTCTACAATATGATAATTTTCAATAAAGTTATGTTAACTAATTTTTCTTCTAACTCCAAACTTTTAATCTAATCAGAATGTACCATCAGATCCAGAAGTCCAGAAAAGAGTAATTAAACCAGATGTGTTTTTAAAATCCTATTATTTATTTATTTATTTATTTATTTCGAGACAGAGCGTCAAGCTGTCCCCCTGGGTAGAGTGCTGTGGCATCTCAGCTCACAGCAACCTCCAACTCCTAGGCTCAAGCAAGTCTCCTGCCTCTGCCTCCCAAGTAGCTGGGACTATAGGTGCCTGCCACAACGCTGGGCTATTTTTTTTGGTTGCAGCCATCATTGTTTGGCAGGCCCGGGCTGGATTCGAACCTGCCACCTTCGGTGTATGTGGCTGGCGCCTTAGCTACTTGGGCCACAGGCACCAAGCCTAAAATCCTATTATTTATAAAAGCCTTGTCTATATACCCTGAAACAGAAATCATCTTCTATTGCAGTTATGAGTTGTATCTAAGATTTATACACTTAATACAATGGTTGTTAAACATTGGAATACAACTGAAACAGTCCCTTTGATTGAGAGTAACATGTCAATAACCTCTTACCTGAGCTGCAGCTTCCTCATAACCAGTGGTGCCATTTATCTGGCCAGCAAGGAAGAGCCGCTGAACCAGATGAGTCTCCAGGGAAGGAGAGATGTGACGGGGATCTAAATAATCATACTGAACACCATAGCCTGACCAAAGAGTAAATGGCATCAAATAAGTAAAAAAGGAACTGGATTTGCCTTAAGGTAGAGCTACAAAGATTACCAGTAAGTCCCCTTCAAAAACAAAGGTTATTTTAAATGTACAAATGTTGGACTTCATCTCTGAGCCACTCAACAACAATGACTGTAGCTAAGACCTCCCTGACTGCCGAAGTGAGGCTGAGTTATACTGAAGGGCAGCTCTGACCCTCCTTACCTGGCTGAATCATTTTAGCTTTCTCCAAGCCTCTGATGCACGTTATCATTTTTTCCTGTAACTCAGCTGGCAGTGTCACAGATAACCCTTGGGGATAGATGAGGTCAGAATCCATTCCCTCAGGTTCCAACCAAACCTGATGTATACGGTTTGGGAAACGCAAAACCTTCGATTCAATGGAGGGACAGTATCTAGAATAAGACATTTAAATAAAAAAAGCTGAAACTAACAAAAGAGAATTGACATCATTCCTTAAAGTAACTGAAAACTGATATTTTGTCCTTACCGGGGTCCTCTGGTAGTTTCTTTAACATGACTATTAAGGTGAAGGTTCTCAAGGACAATCTCATCCACTCTTGGGTTAGTGTGAGTCAAGTAACAGGGCAGCTGATCTTCTGGCTAAAAACAATAACCAGAAACAATGCTATTTTCCTTCGCTACTAGGTTGGCTCTTTTTTTTTTTTTTTGAGAGACAGAGCCTCAAGCTATCCCCCTGGGTGGAGTGCTGTGGCATCACAGCTCACAGCAACCTCCAACTCCTGGGCTCAAGTGAGTCTTCTGCCTCAGCCTCCCTAGTAGCTGGGATCACAGGCGCCTGCCATAACGCCTGGCTATTTTTTTTTTTTTTTGCTTGCAGCCATCATTGTTGTTTTTGGTGAGCTCAGGCTGGATTTGAATCCGCCACCTTAGGTCTATGTGGCTGGCGCCTTAGCCACATGAGCCACAGGCTCCGAGCCTAGGTTGGCTCTTATTCAAATAAATACTACACGACATACACTTACTTTAATAGATATTAAATCTATGCTTAACGTCCAGTACTACTTATAAAGTATGCCTGCTAGAAATAACCCAGAAGATGAAGTTAAATCTAAGTAAGCCTCTAAAGCTAACCACCAGTCTACAGGAAATAGGATAGAGGAACATATCAGACGAATCTAGAATGAGAGAAGTTGTAGAGAATAAAGAACTCAATTTCTTCCAATATATATATTTTTAAATTATTTATTTACTTTTTTTTTTAATTGTTTTTTTGAGACAGAGTCTCATTCATGAGCTCAAGCGTTCTACCTCCCTTGGCCTCCCAGAGTGCTAGGATTACAGGCATGAGCCTATTTATTTAGTTTTTGAGAGAGTCTCACTTTGTCGTCCTCTGTAGAGTGCTGTAGCATCACAGTTCACAACAACCTCAAACTCTTGGATTTAAGTGATCCTCTTGCCTCAGCCTCCCAACTAGCTGGGACCTGACCCAACACTCAGCCATTTTTAGAGAGAAGGTGTCACTCTTGCTTAGGCTAATCTTGAACTGCTGAGCTCAAGCAATCCACCCACAGTCTCCCCATGTGCTAGGATAATAGGGTGTTATAATACACCCAATGCAATAAACCTTATTTGATTCCTGGTTCAAATAAAAAGGGCTATAAAAAACAATTTTGAAGCAATTAGGGAAAACTGAACACTGAGTATTAGTTACTGCCAAAAAACTGTTTGGGCTTGGTGCCTGTGGCTCAAGAGGCTAAGGCGCCAGCCACATACACCTGAGCTGGAGGGTTTGAATCCAGCCTGGGCCCGCTAAACACCACCACCTACAACCACGAAATAGCTGGGTGTTGTGGTGGGCACCTGTAGTCCCAGCTACTTGGGAGGGGGAGGCAGGAGAATTGCTTGAGCCCAGGAGTTGGAGGTTGCTGTGAGCTGTGATGCCACAGCACTCTGCCTAGGGCGACAGCTTGAGGCTCTGTCTCAGAAAAAAAAATTATGTTTGGTTTGGTGTGACAATGTAGTTGTCTTCCTTAAAAACATTTCTGTTTCTTAAAGACATATACCACAGTTATAAGGGAAATGATGTGAAACGGGAGATTGTGTCTCTAAAACAAAGCAAGAAGGAAATGTCAAGGAGAAAAGATGAACCAAGAATGCCACAATGCTCCTTGTTGAAGCTAGGTGACAGACATGTGGATTTACTAGACTATTTCCCTACTTTGTATAAACCAGAAAATTTATAATGTATAGTTTAAAAGTATATACACTTCAGAAATAATCATAATTTGCATTTTACCAAAGTAAAAATATAAAAATAACTTGCTCAAAATAACAGAATATTTAAAACAATTCAACAAGGGCAGTCCCTGTGGCTCAAAAGGGTAGGACGCCAGCCACATATGCCGGAGATGGCAGGTTCAAACCCAGCCCTGGCCAAAAAAAAAAATTCAACAAATTCTCAATCCTAAACATCTAATGTACTTTTTATTTCCTTGAGCTAGAATATAGTAGGGCTTTTTTTCTGTTTTTTTTTTTTTTTGCTTTGAGACTTTGTTACCCTCAATAGAGTGGTATGGCATCATAGCTCACACCAACCTCAAACTCTCAGGCTCAAGCGATTCTCTTGCCTCAGCCTCTCATGTAGCTGGGAGTACAGGTGCCCGCCACAACACCCAGCTATTTTTACAGACGGGTCTTACTCTTTCTCAGACTGATTTTGAACTTCTGAGCTCAAGCAATCTACCTGCCTCAGCCTCTCAGATCCACCACACCTGCCGCCCCCCCCCCTTTTTAAACACTTAGTCCTGCTCTGTCACCCTGGCTAGGCTGCAGTGGCATCATCATAGCTCACTGCAACCTCAAACTACGGGGCTCAAGCAATCCTCCTGCTTCAGCCTCTTGAGAAGTTGAGACTACAGGCTTCTATCACAATGCCCAGCTAATTCTTCTGTTTTTAGTAGAGATGGGGTCTCGCTCTTAATCAGACTGGTCTCAAACTCCTGAGCTCAAGCAATCTTCCCATCTCAGCCTCCCAGAGCGTTAGGATTACAGACATGAGCCACCATGTCTGGACTCTGTATGTTACTGTCTTATCCATTAAATATACATATAAATATCAGTATGTCTATTTCTATAGAAAGAGTGATAAATATGGTTAAGACTGTATGTATTAACAATGGGGGACTTTCAATAGTTTATTGGAGTTTGTTGTAATAGTCTTGCAAATTTTCTGTAGGTCTGAAATTGTTTCAAAAAAACTTAATTTATAAAATAGATAAAGTTATAGAAGTAAAGAAATTTAAGAAACACCTAATTAGCCAAACTAGCTAATCCTCTTAAAGATCGCTTTTTTTTTTTTTTTTGAGACACAGCCTCAAGCTGTGCCCCTGGGTAGAGTGCCATGGTATCACAGCTCACAGCAACCTCCAACTCCTGGGCTGAAGCGAGTCTCCTATCTCAGCTTCCCAAGTAGCTGGGACCACAGGCACTTGCCACAATGCCTGCCTATTTTTTGGTTGCAGCCATCATTGTTGTTTGGCGGGCCTGGGCTGGATTCGAACCCACCACCTTAGGTGCATGTGGCTGGTGCCTTAGCCACTTGAGCCACGGGCGCCAAGCCTTAAAGATCACTTCTTTGCACTCTAAGCAATAATAATACTATTAATAGTAAACTGCTGCTTAAAAAAAAAAAAAGGAAGTAGTAAGACTAAATCCTGCTGTGAATTATCATAAATACCAGCTGTAAAGCCAGGTTTTTGTAAATTCTTACCTTAATCCATACTGTCTCATTGAGGAAGCTGAATGGCAGGGACGGATTATCTGGTGTCTGCTTGTTCAGAATGCTGAAATTAATGGAGTCTTTGGCAATTCGGGGTGGAGTCCCTGTCTTCAACCTTCCCACTGCAAACCCCAACTTCTCCAAAGTCTGAGCCAAACCTATAGAAGGCTGATCCCCCAGACGTCCTGCTGGATGCATCTCCAATCCAATTACAACCATGCCTCTGAGAAACGTCCCAGTAGTCAGAATCACACTTTCTGCATATATTGCACTTCCATCAGCTAAGTGACAAAAAGATGGGTAAAATCATTTGTTAGTTATCACCTAGATCAAAATGGAATCCGACTCTTACATCAGAACTACAGAAGATCTTTCGATCTTTACAAACCTGAGAAACAATCATTTTTTACTATTTGTTTTTTGTTTGTTTCTTAAGCTTTATTGAAATATGATAGACAAAAAAACCACATAGATTTAAAGCACACAACACGGCCCAGTGCAGTGGCTCACAGCTGTAATCGTAGCACTCTGGGAGGCTGTGGCGGGTAGATGGCTTGAGCTCAGAAGTGCAAAAGCAGCCTCAGCAAAAATGAGACCCCCATCTGTACTAATAGTAAAACTAGCCAGGTGCACTAATGCATACTGGTAGTCCCAGCTACTGGGGAGGCTGAGGCAAGAGGATTGCTTGAGCCCAAGAGTTTGAGGTTGCTGTGAGCTATGATGATGCCAAAGCATTCTACCCAGGGCAACAGAGTCTTACTTAAAGAAAAAAAAAGGCTTGGCGCCCATAGCACAGTGGTTACAGCATCAGCCACATACACTGAGGAAGCCGGGTTCAAACCCCGCCCAGGCCAGCTAACCAACAATGACAATTGCAACAAAAAATACCCAGGCATTGTGGCGGGCACCTGTAGTCCCAGCTACTCAGGAGGCTCAGGTAAGAGAATCACTAAAGCCCAAGAGTTTGAGGTTGCTATGAGCTATGACACCACAGCACTCGACTGAGGGTAACATGGTAAGACTGTCTCAAAAAAAAAAAAAAAAAA